GCGGACGCTGCACGCGCACGACATCGAGGTGTGCGCGGAGCGGGGCGGGGAGGGCTTCCTGCGCCCGGGCTGCTGCGCCGCCATCCCCATCACGGCGGAGGGGGGCGAGGACACGCTGGTCATCATGTCGGAGATCCGGCCCGAGGCGTCGACCAACCCGGCGGACGTCGAGCAGAACCTCCGCGGGGTGGTGAGCGAGATCTCGGAGTCGGAGGGCGTGCGGCCGTCGGCGATCGTGCTCATCACGGCGCGCTCGATCCTGAAGACCACCTCCGGCAAGCTGCGGCGGCGCGAGATGCGGCAGGCGTACGCGCAGCTGGTGCTCGGCGAGAGGCCGGCCGAGAAGTGGCAGTTCCTCATCCCCGAGTCGGCCGTCGTCCACGTCTGGAAGGACACGATGCCGCTGCCGGCGCCCGCGCGCAAGGCGCCGGAGCCGGCGGCTGCGGCGTCCAGGCTCGCCGCGCCGGCCGCGCCCGCCAGCGCGTACAAGACCGTCCCGCCGCAGGCCGGTGGGCGCGAGGACTTTTCGGCGATCTTCCGGCACGGCTCGGGTGACCACTACACGCCCGTGCAGCTCTCTTTCACGGGCAAGTTTGAGGAGAACGCGAAGCGCTTCGGCGCGCGCCGCCTCTACTCGTGGATGCGGGGCGACTGCAGCGAGGAGGCGTCCCTCTCTTTCGCGGAGCTGCGCGAGCAGGCGTGCAACCTGTGCGTGGCGCTGCGTCAGAAGTGGGGCGCCAACACCGGCGACCGGGTGATGCTGGTGTACCCGCCCGGCCTCGACTTCCTCGTCGCCTTCTTTGGCGCCCAGTACGCCGCAGTGATCGCGGTGCCGTACTACCCGCCCATCATGCCGACGTCGCCGATGCCGTCGGCGGGCGCCAAGAAGCTGCTGGCGGACGGGCTCGAGAAACTGTCGCGTATCTCGCAGTCGTGCAGCCCGATCCTCTTCCTCTCCACAAAGTTCTACCTGCGCGCGCAGTGGCTCTGCAGCATGGCCATTCGCGACGAGGAGTGCAAGTGGAACTCCGACTGGAAATGGCGCGCCCCGCACCCGCTCCCCGCACCCGCGTCCCCCGCCTCCCCTCCACCGCCCGCCGTTGCCAACCCCCTCGCCCCTCTGTCACCCACCCCGCGCCCGCCGGCGCCACACCCATCTCACCCCGCGCCGCCCCTTCGGTGCCCGTGGCATTCAGGCACGCTTCGGACGACCTGTCGCGCCGCCGCTCTGCGCGCGAGGAGGAGTGGCTCAACGGCTGGCTCGCGACGCGGTGCGACGACTGTCCGCCGGACGAGGTTGCGTTCCTGCAGTACACGTCGGGCTCGACCGGCCACCCGAAGGGCGTGATGGTCGGCACGCGCAACCTGATGAACAACATCTTTGCGATCCAGTCGGTCAAGCTGTCCACGCGCGAGATGGCCTTCCTGGACCAGGACAAGATCGGCGTCGCCTCGTGGCTGCCGCAGTACCACGACATGGGCCTCATCGGAGGCTGCCTCTCCGCCGCGATCTGCGGTTGGCGCGCCGACCTCACCTCGCCCTTCACCTTTTTGCAGCGGCCCGTCGTCTGGTTGCAGATGATCACGCGCATGAAGGACACGCACCTCGTCCAGTGCACGGCGCCAAACTTTGGGTACGCGCTGTGCATCCGGCGCGTCAAGGGCGACGCGCTGGCGAAGCTGTCGCTCGCGCACTGGAAGGTTGCGATGAACGGCGCAGAGCCGATCCGCGCGTCGACGGTGACCGAGTTCTCCGCGCGCTTCGCGTCGTGCGGCTTCGAGTCGCGCGCGTGGGCGCCGGTGTTTGGGCTGGCCGAGAACTGCCTGTACTGCTGCGGCCGCGCCGAGGAGACGGTCATCCTGCAGGTGGACCGCGCGTGCCTGGGCGTCGGCGACAAGCCGATGCCGCAGACGGGCCCGATCCAGACGTCCATCCTCGAGGCGTGCGGCCACTACATCCTGCCCGAGAGCTTCACCAACCAGATGGTGAAGATCGTGCACAACGAGACGTGCGAGGAGCTGCCGGACGGGACGGTCGGCGAGATCTGGGTGTGCGGCCCGTCGGTGGCGGGCGGGTACTGGCAGCTGGAGGACCTGTCGACCGACACGTTCCGCGCGCGCATCAAGAGCACGACCAACCCGACCGACGCGCCGCACCTGCGCTCGGGCGACCTCGGCTTCATCTGGGAGCGGCGTC